TAATTGTAACTATATAGGACATATAGTGGTTTACTTGTAACTATATAGGACATATAGTGGTTTATTTGTAACTATATAGGACACATAGTCGTTTACTTGTAACTATATGAGACATGTAGTGACTTACTTGTAACTATATAGGACATATAATGGTTTACTCGTAACTATATATGACATATAGTGGTTTACTTGTAACTATATACACATATAGTGGTTAACTTGTAACTATATAGAACATATAGTTGTTTAATTGTAACTATATACACATATAATAGTTTACTTGTAACTATATAGGACATATAGTGGTTTATTTGTAACTATATAGACATATAGTTGTTTAATTGTAACTATATAGGTCATATAGTGGTTTACTTGTAACTATATAGGACATATAGTGGTTTATTTGTAACTATATAGGACATATAGTGGTTTACTTGTAACTATATAGGACATATAGTGGTTTACTTGTAACTATATAGGACATATAGTGGTTTACTTGTAACTATATAGGACATATAGTGGTTTACTTGTAACTATATATTTAATTTGTACATATAGTGGTTGGTTTACTTGTAACTATATAGGACATATAGTGGTTTAATTGTAACTATATAGGACATATAGTGGTTTACTTGTAACTATATAATACATATAGTGGTTTATTTGTAAACTATATAGGACATATAGTTGTTTAGTTATAACTATATAGGACATATAGTGGTTTACTTGTAACTATATATATAGACACATATAGTGGTTTACTTGTAACTATATAGGACATATAGTGGTTTATTTGTAACTATATAGACATATAGTGGTTTACTTGTAACTATATAGGACATATAGTGGTTTACTTGTAACTATATAGGACATATAGTGGTTTACTTGTAACTATATAAGACATATAGTGGTTTACTTGTAACTATATAACTATATAGACTATATAGTTATAGTTTTTACTTGTAACTATATAGGACATATAGTGGTTTACTTTGTAACTATATAGGACATATAGTGGTTTACTTGTAACTATATAGGACATATAGTGGTTTACTTGTAACTATATAGGACATATAGTGGTTTACTTGTAACTATATAAGATATATAGTGGTTTACTTGTAACTATATAGACATATAGTTGTTTAATTATTACTATATAGGACATATAGTGGTTTATTTGTAACTATATAGACATATAGTTGTTTATTTGTAACTATATAGACATATAGTGGTTTACTTGTAACTATATAGGACATATAGTGGTTTACTTGTAACTATATATGGGACATATAGTGGTTTACTTGTAACTATATAAGACATATATGGTTTAGTTATAACTATATAGGACATATAGTGGTTTACTTGTAACTATATAGGACATATAGTGGTTTAATTGTAACTATATAGGACATATAGTTTACTTTAACTACACATAGGACATATAATTGGTAAGTATATATAGGACATATAGTTGTTTACTTGTAACTATATACACATATAGTGGTTTACTTGTAACTATATAGGACATATAGTGGTTTACTTTGTAACTATATAGGACATATAGTGGTTTATTTGTAACTATATAGGACATATAGTTGTTTATTTGTAACTATATAGACATATATATGGTTTACTAGTTTGTAACTATATAGGACATATAGTGGTTTATTTGTAACTATATAGGACATATAGTGGTTTACTTGTAACTATATAGGGCATATAGTGGTTTACTTGTAACTATATAGGACATATAGTGGTTTACTTGTAACTATATAGGACATATAGTGGTTTACTTGTAACTATATAGGACATATAGTGGCTTATTTGTAACTATATAGACATATAGTTGCTTAATTGTAATTATATAGGACATATAGTGGTTTACTTGTAACTATATAGGACATATGTTTGTTTATTTGTAACTATATAGGACATATAGTTGTTTACTTGTAACTATATAGGACATATAGTGGTTTACTTGTAACTATATAGGACATATAGTGGTTTACTTGTAACTATATATGACATATAGTGGTTTACTTGTAACTATATACACATATAGTGGTTAACTTGTAACTATATAGAACATATAGTGGTTTAATTGTAACTATATACACATATAATAGTTTACTTGTAACTATATAGGACATATAGTGGTTTATTTGTAACTATATAGACATATAGTTGTTTAATTGTAACTATATAGGACATATAGTGGTTTACTTGTAACTATATAGGACATATAGTGGTTTATTTGTAACTATATAGGACACATAGTGGTTTACTTGTAACTATATAGGACATATAGTGGTTTACTTGTAACTATATAGGACATATAATGGTTTACTTGTAACTATATAGGACATATAGTGGTTTACTTGTAACTATATAGGACATATAGTGGTTTACTTGTAACTATATAGGACATATAGTGGTTTAATTGTAACTATATAGGACATATAGTGGTTTACTTGTAACTATATAGGACATATAGTGGTTTACTTGTAACTATATAGGACATATAATGGTTTACTCGTAACTATATATGACTTATAGTGGTTTACTTGTAACTATATGCACATATAGTGGTTGACTTGTAACTATATAGGACATATAGTTGTTTAATTGTAACTATATAGGACATATAGTGGTTTACTTGTAACTATATAGGACATATAGTGGTTTATTTATAACTATACATGTAGGCTTATATATAGACATATAGTTGTTTAGTTACTTGTAACTATATATCGGACATATAGTTGGTTTACTTGTAACTATATAGGACATATAGTGGTTTACTTGTAACTATATAGGACATATAGTGGTTTATTTGTAACTATATAGACATATGGTTGTTTAGTTATAACTATATAGGCCATATAGTAATTTACTTGTAACTATATAGACATATAGTTGTTTAATTGTAACTATATAGGACATATAGTTGTTTAGTTGTAACTATATAGACTATATTGGGCAAATATAGACATATAGTCGTTTACTTGTAACTATATACACATATAGTGGTTTACTCGTAACTCTATAGGACATATAGTGGTTTATTTGTAACTATATAGACATATAGTTGTTTAATTGTAACTATTTAGGACATATAGTTGTTTACTTGTAACTATATAGGGCAAATAGTGGTTTACTTGTAACTATATAGAACATATAGTGTTTTACTTGTAACTATATAGGACATAAAGTGGTTTGCTTGTTACTATGTAACCCCTCCCCCCCTCCATATAGTGGTTTACTTGTAACTATATACCCCCCACAATAGGACATATAGTGGTTTATTTTTAATTATATACCCATATAGGACATAAAGTTGTTTATTTTTAACTATATACAACCGCAGAAGATGTCGTTTAGGTGACGGTAGCGTGTATGAAACCAGCTTTGTCTCTGAAAAGGTAAATATACTCACGTCCAAAAGAAACTTGACACCTGACAAAGTACTGACTGTGTGCAGTATTTTAGTCCCATGTCACTAAAACCTACTGTACTATGAAGATAAATCTATTGACAAGCACATCACAAAATCTAATTAAGATTTATTGAAAATTATGTGATGTAATGACGTGCCATTTACAGGGTGAAATTTCATAGACGTTCAGAGTGGTCAAAAAGCATTGTCAATAACGGATGTGGGCCTGGATGCATGCAAACGCACGTCTGCGCATTGATAACGTCTGATGACGTTGTTGGGGATTCTCTGCCACTCCTCCATCAGGGCTTGAATCAACTGCCGACGTGTTTGTGGAGGTGCTCGATCGGTGACATATCAGGAGACCCTGGAGGTGAGGGCAGAACGTTGACGTTGTTGCGATTAAGAAAGTCCTGCACAACTCTAGCAAATTGGGGCCTGGCGTTGTCATGTTGGAAGAGAGTCCCTCGCTGCTGTTGCTGCAGGAAAGGGAGAACTACCGGTCTCAAAACATGGTCGATGCAGCGTTGACCAGTCAGTGTCTCGTCAAACACAACAAGTCTAATGGTCCGGTCTCCAAAAATGACTGCCCAGATCATCACACTCCCTCCACCGAAAGGCTCCGTCTCCTGAATGCAACAAGGAGCCATGCGTTCGCTCACTCTCCGGTAAACTCGTGTCCTTCCGTCATTATGGAACAGAGAGAACCTGCTCTCGTCCGAAAATAGTACCCTTTGCCAGTCACGTCTCTGCCAGCGTCGCACATGACGTGCCCACTGTAACCTCTGCTGGCGATGTCTAAGTGTCAGGGAAGTTCCTCTGTACGGTCTGTAGTTCCTAATGTCATAGGCACGGAGACGTCTGGCTACTGTCTGTCGACTGAGGCGGCGACCCAATGCCGTTGTTGCCGTTGACGTTGACGTCAGGAAGCGGTTACGTAAGTGGAGATTACGGATGTACCTGTCTTCCTGTGCCGTTGTGATGCGGGGTCTCCCTGATCTGGGCCGGTCCCTCGTCTGGCCAGTCTGTTGGAACCGCTAGATGAGGTTGGATATAGCCGTGGTAGAGCAACCGAAGATTCTCACAACGTGACCACGAGAAGCCCCCATTTTGATTATACCGATTGTTCGTTCAAGCTGTTCTGCTGTCAGTCTGGGCATTCTCGCTGTGGTTTTCTAATGCACTGATGACAGTGGGTTATATGGAGGCATTTTATACCAAATATTGCACGCGTGGTTCGTGCAACTGCGAGAAAACCGATTTTAGAATAACCTTGCATGTAAACCATGATTTTGAGACATTTCAAGCCTCTATGAACACGGGAGAACTCGGTTCATAGTATTTTGCAATATTTAAAAAGACACATTTCCTTTAGAGCAAAAAAAATAGGGGTCAAGTTTCTTTTGGACGAGAGTATAGTAGCCCGATGTATGGGCGCTCCACCAGCTTCAACACGCTACTTCCTATCGTGTTTATATCGATGTGTCATGGTCTATTCATTACACAAGCTACACATGATGTCAACTGGCAACTTGTTTTATATCTTCCGTGTTGTTTATTGTAGATGGACGCCATCACAAAGCTGGAGAAGTTGAATGAGAATTTCCTGACGTGTTGTATCTGCAGCGAGGTGTACAAGGACCCTTGCACTCTGGCGTGTGGTCACACCTTCTGTAAGGGCTGTCTGAAGAAGTACCTCCTCAATATCCACGACACCCTCCTGGGTTGCATCCCGTGTCCCTACTGCCGCCAGACTACCAGTGTCCCACACCCTGACGGGCCGGTGGAAGAGTGGGTGAAGCCCATCAAGCCGAGCTTCCTCATACAGGGGCTGCTGGACATGTTCGCCCCAGGAGGCGGAAATACACAAGGTAAGGAACTGTCCGCTCGCTTCCCGGGCATTACTTCCAAAGTAGGGAACTCTCCGCTGATAACGAGGGCTCCGGCTCTTAAGGTGAGGGAACTTGTGGCTGATGACACTGACGACATCACTTACAAGGTACGGACCTGTCCGCTGATAACGAGGGCTCCGGCTCTCAAGGTGATAACGAGGACTCCGGCTCTCCGCTGGTAACGAGGGCTCCGGCTCTCAAGGTGAGGGTACCTGTGGTTGATGACACTGACGACATCACTCCAAGTAAGGAATTTTCCGCTCATATGAAAAAAACATCCTTTACACTCTTTCGGGACATCAGTTCTCAAGGTAGGGAACATTGCGCTCATATCAAGAACATATAAGTAAGAGCACGTTGCACTCTTTTTATGTTACCTTTATCGATAATATCGATAAAATGCTTCCTTGATTTTGAGATGGGCGGTTGGGTAGGTTTTCTCAGCTTATCGCTTCTACCCACAGCGTTCGCTCGTCTCGTCTCGCGGAACACCCTGGTTCGATTCCCCACATGGTTACAATGTGTGAAGCCTATTTCTGGTGTCCCCCCCGCGATGTTGCTGGACTGCTGCTAAAAGCGGCGTAAACCCATACTCACTCACTCACTCACATTAAAGGTATATTTTATCTCGATTGCAGATGCAAGCAAGCATATGTGTGTTTCCTGCACTTTGTTCGGGGAGAAAAGGGACGTGGTGGAGTTCTGCTGCAGAGACTGTAACAAAGCCGTGTGTGTGAACTGTTGTACACTGCACCATGGGACGTGTACATCTGTCGTCCCCATACACACTGTGTTACCAGAGGTCAAGTCCGTGCTCATGGAAAACAAGGACATGATCAGCAAGCAGCTGGATTGCACAAGGTCCAGTGTTTTACATCACCAGTCACGGATCCTCGGCATGAGCCAGAAGAAGCTGTCGTTGGAATTACATACGAGGAAGGTCGCACAGAGAGCAATGACTATGATCAAACAGAAGGAGAAACAGCTGCTGAATGAGCTGAATGAAATGACTGAACGACATATTGTTGATCTGAAAGGACAGGTGAAATCGGGGGAAATTCACATTCAGATGTATCAGCAATATGATGAGTACATAACGCAGGTGCTGAAGTCGGAGAGTGAAACGGAGATGTTTGACATTTACCAGATGTGTCAGTCAGGGGCAATAAAGGAGGCAACAGACAGAAACTTTCATCTACAACACAAAACAGAGGAGGAGGATATTATATTCATTGATGAGTTCAATGAGAGAGCATTTCTGACAGATGTCCGCCTGGGAAGACTAGAGAAGCCGTTGTTTGATGTTACGTCTACTCCCATGCTAAGTGAGTCAGTTGATGTCCGGTTTGACAGTGACAAAGCCACGCCTGATGCTGCTGATGTTGTTGTTATGTTTGTAGACGATGTGGAGACGCTCGTAGTGACCGACTGGAGCAACAAGTGCCTGAAATCATTGTACACATTGAAGAATGAATCACGTCAGAGTAAACTGACGCTCAAAAGTAATCCATTTACTGTGACGAAGCTGACAGAGAACCAGGTGGCTGTATCCTTCTGGTCCTACAACGCGATAGTCCTAGCACAGGTGACACCAGACCTCTTCATGATGTCCATCATCAAAACAAAGAAGAAATACCGATGCCTGACATCCTTGAGTTCCTCAACACTAGTAGCAGGATGCATGGATCCATCTTCTGTTGATGTGCTGGACATGGCGGGGGTTGTTCTGCAGACCTTCTCTGGACACAACACCGGTCAAAACCTGCTACGTGAACCATGGTTCTTGAGTACTACCATCAACGGCAACATCTTGGTGTCCGACGGTGGGTCGGGCTCCGTGTATTGCATCACGCGGGAGGGAGGACTTGTGTTCGCCTACACGCCTACAGGGGATAGAGAGCTGAAACGACCACGTGGTATTACAACTACCAACACTGGCTACATCCTGGTAGCAGACTACTGGACGGAGAGACTGGTGCTGCTGACACAGACTGGGGAGTTTATCAAAGACCTCCTCATGTCCCAGAATGGAGCCGAATCTTTGTGTGGGGTATTCCTTCATTCAACGAGACTCTTTGTGACGGAAAGTTCTCAAAAAGTGAAAGTATTTGAGTTCAAGAGCACCTAACCTTGAACCATGTTACCGATCCTTGGGCTCAAAATAACGCTATTGCTCAATATTGTAAAAAGAATTGAAGAAGTCCCGAACGAAAGCATTTCGTCTTTTGAGTTGACGCCTTGCCCTTTGCATGAAGCGAACATTTAACAAGCGATCATAACCAATCAAACAAGTCAAAACAATTATGTTGAAAGCGTCACTTCAGCCAGTGCAAAATAAAATTTGTGAAAATAGAAAAAGTGAATATATTGCTAGGAAAAAATATATTATTCAGATGTACAGAGTCAAAAATTCTTCTGTTTCTCTAGGGCCATTTAAGGAATGTGTGGAACGTACGATAATAATTTGAGTCAACTGTAATACAGGAAATACAGGGCGTTATAGCAATGTGTGAGCAGATATTGTAACCAATAAGTGAGTTAGTGAGTGATGAAGTGATTAAGTTAGAGGTATTTAGAAGAAGAAAAGAATTTATGTTTTGGACTTGAACAAATGTGTTGCTCGTCCCCACAACACATGGTGTACAGGCCTGTAAAGGACATATGATATATAAACAGTCAGCTTATGGAGGCTGGACAATGTCATTTTTGTTAGATTTCATTTGTAGTATTGTTTGTTATTAAACTTTCGTAGATTACACAGGCGTTCGTTATCGAATTTATTTATGAGGACCGACATTGTATTTTTCATTTTGGTGAATCTTGAATCGAAAAAGAAACAATTGTGTAAACTGTATGAATCCGGGGGGACAGTGGTCTAAGGGAGAACACTTATGCCTTTGAAACGGATGACACGTGAATGTGGTCAGTCCGCACTAGTAGCACTACGTACCTTCGTATGAATGACATTTAATTCGTAATAACCTTTTCCAGAAGGCATTGTTTTTTCATGTTTTTCGGTCATTGGTGCAGTGTTAATTTACACTTATCAGAAGAGTACATACAATATGTGATCTAGACTACCAGATGCGGCACTTCAGTATTCATGGATGGGTGATTTTGTGTGCTGGCGATAAGGTGCCTCACATTGAGAATGTGGCTTGGAATTCTGGAAGAGTCTCAGCCCAGAAAGTACCACTACCTGTACTTTCTGTGAAACTGTTTTACCCAACATCTGTTATTTCTAGTGCCACTGGTTCTGCTGTTGTACCACTAACTACCACCAACGACGTAATGTAATCCTATTTTGCGTGCAGCGTAAGCCATCCCTATCGTTTCAAAAATCAGTCAGTTTGTTCATTAACTTACCAAAGTTTGTACATGAAATCCTATACTTCACAGAAGTGGATGAAGCGTTTGTCCAATCAAAAGTGTTACACTGTGTTCTCTACTTTCACTCTTCTAGAGTGAGTGAGGTGAAACGCCTGTTCCATACCGTAAATAAGGGAGTTTAGTTTTGCGCCACACTCAACAATATTCCAGCTATATGTCGGCGTTCTGTAAATAACCGACACTCCAGTGATCAACAGCATGAGCATCGATCAAAACAACTGGGATACGATGACATGTGTCAACCAGCCTGACCACCCGATCCCGTTAGTCGCCTCTTACGACAAGTATCCCGGGCTGGTTAAAGCGTTTTTGGTTAAAGCGTTTTGGGGATATCTGTCTCTTCAAATACAGAAGTCCATCAGTGGGTCCACAACACTTTATTTGTCAGCTAAGTATGTAATTACATGATAGTGCAGCAACGGCCAGGCAGCATCACAGAGGCGATCGTCAGCCCACCTGCCTAGCCGCTGTCCGAGGGTCAAGTCCCGTTACATTAAGAATTCATTGTCTATATACTACTGACTGTCAGGCTGCCCTGTATCGTATTACGATACATGTATGGTCAACCTGCAGTGTCCAGCATGCACCTCATCCACAATGCTAACTTCCGTAGCCAACCGGCCATACTCTAAAGTTAATTAGGGTCAATTACACGCAGGCAGCTGACCTGTACATGGCTGTGCTGATGGTCATGATAATAAGCTGCTGATATTTCATGTATATTGTCAGCACTGTGATTTAGATGTAGATAACACAACTTTAACTTAACTCAGAGAATATACAAACATGTCTATATTTCCCCGATAAAACCCATACCCCATCAAAGTGCCTTCGACATACGCCCTTTCTGTGAAAAGTTACAAAATACATTAGATAAATTATACGTCTTCAATATGAAGAGTTATGATATTGTTTCAAACTGCCAAATTAACATCCCATGTTAGCTGATGTTACACAAATTCCTCCATAGTAGGAATAAGCTCTATAATAAACAGACATTGTGAAAAAAACCAACCCTGATAATCACAAAATTGAAAACATGATTCAAGCTGAGGTTTACTGACAGGAATATCGACATAAGAATGACAATATTTGTTGAAAATTAGTATGGACAGGTAAAGATTTGTGTCGTGGGACCTTATTTTTATGTTTAACTCAATAACATAAATGACAGAATAATACGCTTGTATCACTGTATTACATAATACATGTACATTCAAGAAATTCAGGCAAAAGATTTCATGTCCATGATCAGGTGCACTAATTCAGGCAAAAGATTTCATGTTCAGGTGCATATTGTATCCTTTGCATGAGTAACAAATTCCTAAATAGTCAAGCTTCCATACAATATAAACATGAAACTCTTCTTTTATTAGAAGACACACACATTCACATATACATACACGCACACGCACACACGCTCACACACATTCTCTCTCTCACACACTCTCAACACACACACACACACACACCTCAACATTTTGTATCATCCTAACATTAAAATAACAGTCAATTCTCTCTTTCACACACACATTCACACACACACAACACAACATTTTGTAGCACTTTAGGTATAAAATAAGTCAATTCCCCACTTTCCCCCCACACACTCTCTCTCACACACGCGCGCAAATCTCTCTCTCTCTCTCTCTCTCTCTCTCTCTCTCTCTCTCTCTCTCTCTCTCTCTCTCTCTCTCTCTCTCTCTCTCTCTCACACACACACACACACACACACACGTTCTCATCTACTCTCGTCACACCATTAAAAATACACTTTCAAGACTTTCAAGTCCTTAAGACATCACATCCATATTCATATTCCAGCTTATGGGCATAACATTCCCATAAAAAGCAAAGCATGGCAAATCAATCTCAGACATATTTCAAACACATCTTTCAACTTCAAACATTAATCAAACAACGGCCCATGAATACATACATATATACTTCAGTACATATTAGAAAGCGGTGGCCAGGAGGACAGACAATTACTTTGACGGAACATAGACACACGGGTGTATGCTGCGATAGAGAGCATACAGAACAGGGACATGAAACGGAACACATTTACAAAGAAGGTAATAAGCGGTGTCGGAAATAAGTTGAAGGGGTGGAGGCGACACTCTGGGGGACTGAGATGGTATAACCCACAGTGGATGCACATGTATGGGTGTCTGTGGGCATGATACACTGGGGGTGGGATGGGAGGTGGTGGGACGGGGAAAACTGGGTGATGGCAGGGGGAAGGGAGGGGTTGGGGAATGCATTGCTGGGGGAGGGTTTAAAGTCATTAGTTTGCTTCTGCTGCTCTTCATGTAGTCTGTCCAGCTTAACTTTAATGGATGAGATGAGAGACATGATTCCATCTATACCAGACATTTGGTATGTGTCCTCTGCTACCTGGGCACTTTCTATCATATCGGACAAAGTGTCATGGCGTCTGGTGGCAATAAATTGAACGATATGAGGAAGGGAATTTCTGAAAATGAGATCTTTTATGAATTGGTCATCGTTACATTTCAAAAGGGATGCCTCATGCCGAATTGATTGAAGAAATAATCGAAAGTCCTCATGCTCTTTTTGTTTCCTGTCGATAAGGACATTTTTACGATTTATAATTTGAATAGATGTGGGGCCATACCATTTGAGAAAAGATTGTTTGAGTTCGGGCCATGTCATATTGTCTTTACAGGGAAGTACTTCATACCAAATCAGCGCAGATTCCGATAAATATAGGGGGAAAACGTTAATGATTTCTTCATCAGCGAAATTTTGAATATTAACAAATTTCTGAAATCTGCTTAGCCAGGAAGATGCAGAGCGGGGATCATGTCAATCAAACAGTGGCATTGGGAGGTTTGTGCAGCAGACACGGGGTGGGGGATGGCCAGCGGGACGGTCTGCGGGCGGGGAGGAACATTGAGGGGGAGAGCAACAACTGTTATTACAGTGGGGACTTTTAATGCGACATAGGTGATTACCGGGGCTAGAGGTGGTAGGCTGAGGGGAGGCTGATGGAGAGACTGAGCGAGTGGCGGTAGTTGTACGTTTAGATTTTCGGAGGATCCTCCATGGAAAACATGATGTAATGGAGGAACCGTCATCAGATTTAGTAAACTTAAACGAAAAGAGAGGCATTGTTCTTTACAAAAATGAACTAAATAGTATCAACACTCACCCAAGCATGGGTTACTGTAAATTGAGTAAGTGAGGGGGTTAGCTGTAACGCCGCTTTGACGAGTATCCCAATTACAATATTAGACGTGCACATCACCTTTATTAATTGTGCAAACTTGCTGTTGAAACTTTACTATATATATATATTGCCCTACCTGCAGTATTATACATCACTTGCCTGATAATGGTGTTAGGAGCTACGCTCGTATTAATAATAAAGACGTTGTTTATCCATAGAACTCTCCCCGTTGTTTAGACATGTCAGCCTAAAGTTGGAGGATTGATTGACTGACTGATTGTTGTTTTACTCCGCACTCAGCAATATTCCAGCTATATGGCGGCGGTCGGTAAATAATGGAGTCTGGTCCGGACAATCCAGTGATCAACATCATGAGCATCGATCTACGCAACTGTCATACGATGACATGTGTCAACCAAGTCAGTGAGCCTGGTCACCCGATAACGTTAGTCGCCTCTTACGACAAGCATGGGTTACTGAAGATCAATTCTAATCCGGATCTTCACGGGTTAAAATGTTGAGGAAAAGACCCATGTGAAACCATCCAGCACGCTATGGTACTGATAACCTAGGAACACAATCGGGGCTTACCGGTGGGACACGTGATAGGTGTCTGGCGAGTCCAGGGGACGCAACTCGTGGCTGCACATTTGTGGCGCTTTGAACCCCGTGACACACAGCATATTATCACAGTAGCTGTGAATGCCCCACTTCTTGTTATGTTTATCTCCGTGTGGTCCTGTAACCCAGTGGAATATGTCTAGGCAGATGATCAAGACTAATTAATATTCTTTATCGCTGACGTTTCACAGTTACTACTTCTGTCCATGAACATGGTGTTACACATCAGTTATCTATTTTGTCGATTTCAATGTAAGATTTGATTGATTCATCATTGAGATTGATTGATTGATCAAACCCCGGCAAGTTTGTTTTACAGCTATATTTATGACGCCAATTCCTGACATTCAGCAGCAGCGTTAACGGTAACATTCACAGTAACATTCAGCAGCATTCACAGTAACATTCAGCAGCGGCGTTAACGGTAACATTCACAGTAACATTCACAGTAACATTCAGCAGCATTCACAGTAACATTCAGCAGCATTCGCAGTAACATTCACAGTAACATTCACGGTAACATTCACAGTAACATTCACAGTAACATTC